TCACAAAATACCTGAATATCCTTGTGCTCAGCTAATAATAGTAAAGCAAAACACACACCCATTGCCGTAGTATCGTGACCCTGTAATTATACGTATCTATTTCTCAGTAATTATATGTATATGAATGTACTAAGAAGAAACAAATTGGGCGCATACTACACATTATACGTGCCTCGAACATGAAGGTGTCAACTTCCTCTCTGATGTCCAAATCGGTTATATCAGTTTCTCGAGATGCCGCTATTAGAAGATCCAACATAGCGAGTCGCTTTTTACGAACTAAGGTAAACAAATATATACAGTTAAGTGACACTTCTTATATACATAACAAAGAAATATTAGATTTTCACTTCTTATATTTGTATCAAATTTTAGCATCAACATTAACTGACTGCGTTACATACTTCCGATCACTTCTGCGTCATCTGTTTCTTTCAATGTGTTACTTTCAGTGTTTTTTAAATATCGATCCTCTGTGCGTTCGTGATAAAGTTTTCTTTCCTTAATGATCTATATAAATAGAGACAATATTTTGAATAATATCCTAATTCTATATGTTTTGTTACATGTACCCACTTAGCATCGTTAGTAGCACAAACGTTTCTGCAACGAGTTTTCCAAAACTTAGCAACGTTTCGTTAAAAGTCTCTAAACCGTCGTACTAAGGAAACGTCGAAATGTCCACAGGAATAATTGATTCATCTTCAAAAGTTTATGTTTTTTATAAAAATTAAAACAATTTATTATTTGTTATTTTCTAAATCTTTTTATTTACCTGTTTTCCTTTAATAGTTAGTTTTCTTATTTTATATAAATTGTTATACCTTTATATTATTATTTATTTATTTCTTCTACTATAAGTATTTATAACGTCATCCTTATGTTCTTTTTAACTCATATTATTATTTTATATTTACACTTTATAATCTTATCATTTCGAACTTGTATAGTTACACAAGCAGTCACCTGGAGTGTTTTCTACACCTCAGCAAGTTTCAATAGCTTTGTACTATCAATGTATAAAACATAAACACTTTCTATTGTGCACAGTATGACTCGAAAGGTTTGACTGAAAGGTGAGTGTGAATTTCCGATCTGTAAAAAAAACTGCTGTGACGTGAGCTTCATTTTTTCGACGCTGGGATGTAAAACACACCCCGGATGACTACGCCCGGGTTAATCATTTTCCAGGAAAGAGTGATAATTAATTAATCACTCACACACAATTAAGTAATTTATTACTTTTTCCTGGAGAATGGTTAAGCAGGCAAAACCTGCATGGTATCACAAATGTATTGTATAATGTTTATAAAAATTTAAACTTTAAAAACTTTGCAACTTATCGGGCAACGTTTCTTATATGTTTCTACGAAATCGGACCGTAACGTAAAAAGCAAACATTTTGACGTTTCCGCTACGTTACTACGACGTTTTACAGAGTTTTAACGAAACGGTGCTAAGTTTCAAGAAACCCTTTGCAGAAATGTTTGTGCTACTAACGATATTATATATATGTGAGTATTTTTGTATTTGTAAAGAAAAGTAATCAGAAAAAAATATTGTACACACTTTTTCAGTAAATCCATGTAATATCTTTAACATCTTAGTTTGCTTTCTATTTGTTGGAGATAATGCGAACATCCAATCGGGAAACAGCCACGGAGAGAAGACTCTGCGCATAATAATCACGTTACTTCAGGTACAGGGTGTCCCAGAATTGGTATGACATCTCTTGTAGACAGATAGAAAGAGTAACATTGAGTCGAAAAGTCCCATATCATTTTGCTAAATTCGCAATAGTTACCGAGATCTTAATTAACAAAGATCCGCGAATAAGCATGTATTAGGCTGTTACGCGCGTAAGACAGCCCGGCGGCCGGCGCGTTTCGCGCGCTTGCGGTTGTTACCCGTAGCAACAGTACGGGAGGAGCTAACATAACAGCATATACTATATCTATATCATATAAATAATAGAAAATGGAAAATAACGATGGCCGAACGCGAAAGCGATTCTGTCATTAGGATGTTTGATTTTGATTAACAAATTACGAGCAATTACTCGCATATTTTGCTAATCAAACTAAATAATTCTAATACTGAGATGTGTCGATAATGAGTGTGTTTACTTATTTATTTAATTAATCTTTTCGTTATCAAGAACAAGATATATCTCGCCATCACAATGTCGCTTGATTGACGGTATGAATGAGATACCACGCGTCGCTATTTTTATTGCTGTGCTACGGGCGAGATATCAACAAAGTGTTCTTGAATTGATTCTTTATTCTAAATTTTCAGATGACAAATTAAAGTATACGAGATATCTTGTTTATTGCATTTTCGAATAACGAAAGTTGTGACGCGAGATATCTCGTCTAAAGCGTCGCATAAGTATATGATATCGTAATAACGAGATATCTCGTCCATACGTAATGAAAAAGTTAAGTACAAGAAGAATCTCATAAAGAAAAGGAAAACTTATAAGTTACATTTCGGTGGAGATATGAATGTAGTACTGATTGTTATTGTTATATATTTCTTTAATCTTTTTTTTACTTATTAATTTTGTTACATGCTTTTTAGTATGGAACACGTTTTACTACATACTTTTTAATATGGAACACGTTTTAGTATTGTCTGCGTTTCAAACGAACAAAAAGCAGCAAAACCGATAAAATTTTCTTGTTGATACTTATGCAATAATTATATACTTCCATCAACAACAAAAAATGGCATTGAATGAGGGCTAAATAAGAGCAACAACTATACCAGCAGAAGCAGTCCTAGAAAATTTGAGTCACGCGACGTTTTGCTGTCGCAGCGTGCTGCTGTATGAAAAGGTACCTTTACGCGCGTGAGACTGATTGGCACACATTTATTACTTTGTATCTCATTAACTATTGCGAATTTTGCAAAATGGCAAATAACTTTTCTATTCAGTTTGACTCAATTTATCTCTATACTTCGGCTGTGTCAAAATTTTACGGATACTTTGTATATGTACATACGCATCAATTACCTGTGTACCAAAAGATGACCTATATCATGTACTGCTTTCCGATACTCTTCCTCAAACGTGTCAAAACTACGTAAAGAAATACCCATAACGGTTTCTAAAAATACATTTAGCACAGCTGTATTATAACAATATAAAATCACTTTGCACATAGATTTAAGTATTTGGACGTTAGTATTCATTAATTGTATATGGTGCAACCTGTATTAATTGTATACAGGTTATCTGACAACGAACTATCAAGCCGACATGTGTAGATAGATTGGGTTAATCTGAACAGAAAATTATGATTTACCAGTTTGCAAAATTCGCAATAGTTCTTGAGATATGAATTAATAAATGTGAGCCAATGAGCGCGCGGGCGGCAATGATCGGACTCTATAAGCGTGCACAATTATTAGTTCTACTCCTCGCTCGCCGCTACTCGCTGTATAGCCAAATAGCGCACGATTGCAAGAAGTCGAGTCGCGTCGCGCTTGTTTATTTTACTCCGCCTCTCATTGCTAAAACATTGCATGAGAAATTATTTTTCTTTCCAGCTGATAATCGTGCACGCCTATAGAGTCCGATCATTGCTCCACGCACGCTCATTGGCTCACATTTATTAATTCATATTTCAATAACTATTGCGAATTTTGCAAACTGGTAAATAACTTTTTTGCTCAAATTGATCTAATCTGCCTACACACGTCGACTTGATAGTTCGTTGTCAGACACCCTGTAGATATTATGTGTGTATATATATGTGTATATATATGTATAAATATATATATATATATATATATATATATATATATATATA